ATGGTTCAGCAAGTTACTGGAAATCAAAGTTCGAACAAGCTATGGAACTGATTGAAAAAGGTATCCAACTGGAAGAAATACCAGGTTTTATGGTAACCAAAAAGCCTAAATTATCGAAAGATATGACACATGTTACCCAAGTACATGGTTCAATGAAAGCAAACAATGTATTAACTGTAACCATAAAAAGAATTAAAGAAAAAAAGTTAAAAGAAAAAGATGTTGCAAAAAAAAAGAGGAAGTTAAAAAACTTTTTATTAAATGTATGCTTCAATGTAATTGTGGAGACATAAAATGTAAAGCGTTCGGCTTGAAGCAGTGTCCAACCTGTATTATTGTTATGAAGTCTGTTTGCAGCAAAGTAAATTTTTTTTTTTTGTTATTTAGGTGCCCCAAGAAGACCTAACGGTCTTGTCACAGAGCACCGCGGAAGTGCATTTAATTTGGAAGTTCACGCCTCCTTCCTTACCATGACGTGAAAATATGACCAGAGTTCATTTCGAACTGGGATCTCCTGCTTACAAAGCAAGCGCTCTAAACAATGTGCCATGGCCGCTATTGCAAAGTAAATGGACAAAATCCAGAAATGATCTTATTAGAAGGTGCTAGAAAGAAATGAACCAATTATTTTAATGAGATATTTCTATAAATTTTGTGCAAATTTAGTGAAAAATATTGATTCTGGTTATTTCTTTTTTTAATGCACCCCAAAAACCACATGTTAAATTGTACATTTTAATTGTTATTTATACATGTTTCCCTTTTACCTAAAATGCAAATGGTTTGATTTATGTATAGAATATATAAAAGATAAGTTAACTAGATTGGAGTTGCAAACTTAGTCTAAAAAACCACTATTTTATAGCAATTGTTCTTAAAAATTCCAAAAAATTTATACACTTTTTTTAACTGAAAACATTTGTACAAATTTTCTTATATTGTTATCTTAGTTATCTTTTCTTTTAATTGTTACTGGAACATTCATGTATCAAAAAACATTTCTTTCGTGGTTTTAAAGTACATATTTAAATTTTTATAGCCATATAACTGACCACGCTGTTTTTGGGGTGTCTTTGCGGTGCATTCACCTGTAAAATAAAAAAAATTAGGCATGTGCTAATACTTTCTGGAAGCAGTGTATATATGTATATATACATAGCCGCCATGAGGAGAAGGAAGGGGGGGGGCACTTTGTACCAGTATATATGAATAAATACATAGGCACCAAGAGCAGAAGGTAGAGGGGGGCACTTTGTACCAGTATATATGTATATATACATAGCTGCCATAAGGAGAAGGAAGGATGTGGGGGGGGGGGGGGGAAAGGCTACTTTGTACCAGTGGTTGAATATTTTTTTTACTTTATTTAAATGGGTTAATAATGCATTAATGATTTTATTTGTTAGGCTGTTTACATAAAAAATTAAGTAACATGGTTACCTGATTAGCCCACTATATACTAGATGTCAGTAGTTCATATGTCAGCAATACAGCATTAGCCAAATTAATAAGCGGTCTGAGTCTGAGACTAGTCAAAGCAGTTGCATGAATCATATTTATAAGGGCTGTTTTGTTTATAAATATATATATATATATAAATTGTTTGAACAAAATTAACAAAATAGTAATCAATATGGTTAAAATACTAATATTTGCTAAATACCATAAAAATAGCTATACAAATTTCTTGATTTAAATTCAATACTTAAATTTTTCTTTTTCAATTATTCAAAGAGAAAGAGAAAGCAAAAATTATTATAATACTTTAAATTATACATTAGAATAAAATTATGAATACATATTTAGCTCTCTTTTTGATAATAGAGTATCAAAAAAGTTATTTATTGGTCGTAGTATCTTTACTACGTACAAAACAAAAAATATTGTGTTTCAAGAAAAAATAATCTGGCTCTTAAGGCAAAAAAAGCAACAACCCTTACACTTAAACTTAGAATAAATTATCTACTGCCAACAAGAATGTAAAAAAATTAATGCACATTTATATGGTGTTCATTCCACTGAATCTTTCAACAAAGTGAATAACTATTTTAGTCAGATTCAGTTCCTTTTTAGGGAAAGTTCTATTTAAAGAAAATTCATGGCCAAAAAGACTGGTATGTGTTTTCATCAAACTTTGCAATCCAATGGAGTGTATGCATTGAGGTTATGAAACCGTTGGTTAAGCAATCTAGGAAAATCTTTATACCTTTGCAGAAGCTTTGTTACCTTAATCTAACTGCTGATCTATTGAATAAAGTAAAACCTCTGAAGAAATGAATTCAGTCATTTGAATTCATCATTATGACAACTTATTAGTTCAGAGCTCTTAAAGCAATAAACTGTGTTTATTAAAAAAATGTCAGCGTCTAATTTTAGTCAGAGAACATTTTCTTTGATCAGATGAAGCTAATGAAGACTCTAATCTAGAATCTCATCAGACTTAGATCTTCGTGGCCCAAATTCATTAATGAAGGACATTTGATTGCTTCCTGTCAAGCAAGTTATGATTTTCAATAGAACTTTTGTTTAATTGAAAACCATAATTTAAGTGAACAATTCCACAAAAAACCAAGAACAAAGTTTATTTCAACAAAAAATGTAGTGAAACAGTTAAAGGTAAATATATTCAATATTGCTCTCAATACTCTAGTTTAACAAATAAGAATTGAATTTATTGAATTTATTGAATTTATTAAATTTATTGAATTTATTGTTTTTGTTAAAGATTATGAGACTTGTGATTTATAGAGAAGTGTTTATGGATTAAGGTCCAAAAACTTTTTCCTGTGCAAGTATTACCATTTTTGATGAAAGGAGGGTTAAACCAAATGATGTTACATTTACAATTCTTGGTATGAGATAAATTTAAATTAGAGCTGTAGGAAAGTTTGCAATCAAAACTAGACTTTAATAATGTCTCATTGTACATATGAGTTTGCTGACGATACTCATATTTTGCATATTAATAAGTCTCATCATTCCTTGTGTAAGAATATAAACTTAGATCTAAAAGGTTTAGTTTATTTGCGAAATGCAAACCTAATTTCTCTGAACTTGGAAAAAAACTGAACTAATATTTTTTTCATCTCCAAGACAAAAACTTTTATGCAACAATCATATAACTAAAATTAAAGTTAATAATAGACATTTTTATTCAACACATTTTTATAGATTCAAACCTCTCATAGAATTTTCATATAGATGCACTCCGTAAAAAAACTTAATCAAGATAATGGTATGCTTTCAATAATTCACCATTATGTTGATAAAACTACCCTTAAGAATCTGTACTTTGCAATTTTTCAGTCTCATCTCAACTACTGTTGTCAGGTTTGGGGACAAATTGGCAACTGTATATTAGTAAATTGTTATCAGGTCAGCATCAACAAACTCGAATAATGAATTTTCAACTCCATATTACAGAAACGTCAAACTTCTTTTAAAAAACTTAAAATTTCTACCTTGTCAGCACTAGTTAGATTTGCCAAACTTTTTTTTTTGTTTTTTACTCCCTTAATAAAAATTTACCTTCCTCTATTACAACCTTCTTCACTGAAACTTGATTTATACATTAACATTAACTAGAAACATCAATAATGGAAAACTTAATGTACCTCCCTATAAAACTTTGAGGTATGGTAAGTATTCAATGACAAATCAGTACATCAGTGAATAGAATTGAAGTCTTGTGTGCATTATGAATGAGTTTGAAAAATTAAAACTTCAAAATAATTTTTCTTTATTTCTTTATTTAAAACAAAATAAATTTAAACAAGTTGTGAAAAAATTATTTTTTAATTTTTTATCATTATCAACTTCTTTTAGTTTTTTTAGTTTTCTTTTTCTTCTAACTATTTTTATAGAAACTTTGTTTTTGTAATTATTTTTTATTATTTTAAATACTGCTGTTTTTATTATTACAATTATTATTATAAATACTATTATTTTTGCTGTTGCTTTTGCTCTATTAATAAATAAAGTTATTATTGTTATTATTATTATTTTTTAAATAAATATTATTAATACAATTATTTGGTGTCACTTCTTTGATCATGTTTGTGTATGAGTGACTCCTTCTTTGTCAATCAATTATTTATATTTACTCTTAATAATGATATTTTGATTTTATTATTTATAATATTATAGATATTCTTCTTCTTATTATTATTATTAATATATTATTGTAATTCTATGATAGTAAATTTTGAAAAAAATAAATATCTTGTTGTTGTTGTTTTGTAGATCTTTGAAAAATTTCTTCACTCCATAAATTTTTAGAATTAACTCGATTGAATGTCGAATTTGTTTTAAAGTATTGGGTGGATGGTTTGAAAATAGTTATAACTATATTATATTATATATTGCACTGTTCAATTATATATTAAATAGTGCAATATTTATAACCCTACCAAAAATCCTGCAAATTTGCATAAATGAAAAATATCAAATTCTATAATTAAAAAATCAAAGTTTGTTAAGTAAAAAGAATGAAATAATATCTAAGTGAATAGAAACAAATTTGGTTATATTTTAGGATCCATGGTTGGTTGCCCTAGTTAGTTGCAGGGATCCTAAAATATAAAAAAGTTGTTTAAAAGACCATGAAAATAACTTTGATGACAATTTAAGAAACCAAAAATATTTTAACTTGGCAATTTTGTTTTTAAAAAATTGATTGTCCTTAATACTAAGAATTTTTTTTTTCAAATTAGGTAAATCTGGGCATAAAAAGAAGCATAATTAAATAAGGAATTAAAATTAATATTTATTAATAGAATTTATTGAAGGGAAACTATAAGGAGCATTTTCTAAGAAAATGGGTTTCTTGAAAAAAAGCTCTAAAATCTTTTTTAAAGAAGTATTACTTTTTAAATTCTTACTTAATTAGGCTAATATATAATATTTTTTAAATCCTTACTTAATTAGGCTAATATATAATAATTTTCTATATAAATTGTGTTATATATATAAATTATAAAAAAAAAAAAAAAAAAAAATACATAATTTTTCTGGAACTTTTATCAAATTTAATTGAAACGTCTTCTACTATTTTTTGGTAACTTGCTTGGACTTCTTTGGTGCTACAAAATAAAAATATTTTTTATTATTATAAACTTAAACATTTATCTCAAAATATTATTTGTATTAAAAAAAAAAAAACATTATAAATAGTTTGGTCAAGTGAGTTTAAAAATAAGTCAAAATATACTTGATTTTTTGTAAACTTTTTTCAAATGATTTTAACTCGCTTTCTAATGTTTTATCATAATACATTTGTAATTTTGAAATTTCTTCATCATAAAAGCTTTCGGTTAATTTACGTTCCTAAAATGGAATATTACTCAATTATTTATACCTTTATACACATATACACTTCTCATAACTAATTCATCATACAAACTTTCAGTTAACTTATGTCCTTAAAATAAAATAATCTGTAGGAACATATTTTGTGAATAACATTTACCATAATGTCAAAATATTTAAAAAAAAATTATAAGAATATATTTTATAACACATTAAAAAAAAAATAAACAAAACTATACACACTATATACATATTATATCAAAAGCAAAATGTATATTTTATATCTAAAGCATCATATCAATAATAAGTATCAAATTATAACAGATACCATGTAATGAGGAGATAAACTCTAAGATAAACCATGTAATGAGGAGATAAACTCTCAGATAAACCATGTAATGAGGAGGTTACCTCTCAGATACACCATGTATCAGATAAACAATGTAATGAGGATGGCTCTCAGATAAAATCATGTAATGAGGAGAAGGGGGAGTCATAAATTTTATAAGGGATGTACAGCACACAAATCTGCTATCCCTCTGTAAAACACAAATGAATGCGAAGAAAAAAAAATTATTTAAAAATGTTAAAATTTAAAAAATTAGCTTTTACAAACCTTGCGATGATTTTGTTTAAGAATATCCACTTCTTTACCATTTTTTTTTGCAATACGCAAAAACATCTATGATTTTTAATTTAAAAGAAGATAAATTATTTAAAAGAAATTAATAATAATAAAAAAAATTCAAAGAAATTGAGCAATTTAAATTAGTAATTTCATTACTAAATAATTTTCTGGAATTTTCTTGAGCACATCAAACATAAATATTTTAACACTATTTTATAATATTATAAGAACACAACTATGATAACCTGATCAAATATTCTATATAATTCATTTTCATTTCATTTGTTTTATTATCTAAGCTTTATTTGATATATATATATATATATATATATATATATATATATATATATATATATATATATTTATATATATATATATATATATATATATATATATATATATATATATATATATATATATATATATATATATATATATTAGGGTAGGTCAATTTTAGCTTTTTTTAAATTTTGAATTGCATAATGTTGCAGTTACTGCGACTAAGATAAGCCTAATGTTGCAGTTACTGCGAAAAAGAAGTTTTGCTAAGACTCTAGTATTCTATGCTAAAAGTTACATGTGGATTTACATTTAAAATCTCAGTTTAATTTTGTTTCTTTGCAAATTAAGTTTTAGTCTTTTAAATATTTTGTTATAAGTCTAGCAGCCTCATTTAATAATACCTTGTTTTAAATTTATGCAGTAACCAATAAATTTTGCGCTATTGTTCGAAAAAACCAATAGAATTTTGCTAAAATAATTTACATGCATTTAAAATTTAAATTTTAAATATTTAAATTAAGTTTGTTTTAAAATTATTTTTTTTTTAAACATTTTTACTTCCAACAAACTGTAAATTCAATAGTCTTAAAGATGTTATAAAAATTAAGACTTTAATAAGAAGTTGCATAAGAAGCACATGACAGGAAGACAAAAGATTTCTATCCTTAGGTAGAAATCTTTTGCCTTCCTGTCAGCAGGAAGTCGAAAGATTTCTACCTAAGGCCATCATGAAGAGAATCATTTAATTCAATAATTAAATGATTCTCTTCATGATGTTTTAAATTTAAAAGTTATATTTGTTAAATGTTCTCTTTTTTAGAGAAATTGTAAGGAAAGTTTTTTTTTATCAACGATCATCACTTTTACAAGTATTTTTACATAGTTATTTTTGAATGACATTTCTTTTGCAATTTTTGAAGTAGATTAAAATAAATTATATTAAAAGACCATAAAAAAATTTTTCAAAAGAAGTTATTTATTTCACTAAAATTTATACTCTAATACAATGTGTATATATTACTAGTTCACAAAAATGCTGAAATTCAAGGTTACTTTTATTACACAAATGAAGAGTGAAAAAAAGTATTGTGGTGGCCCTCGTGAGTTATTATTAATGGATCATGGTTTTAATTGGGCTAAATATATGAATATATGTTAGTGTTTCTTTTCAATATATGTTAAAATCTTAATTACCTTTTTGATAGTTGGTTATTTGGATATCTAAAAAATTATATAAAACAATAATAATCTTTTTTTTTTTCATCTTCCAATTCAATTGTGTATTTAATGGCATAATGTTGACTGTTTAATATTTGTTTAAAACAAATGGCATTATCTTTATTTGTAAATCTTGTGTGGCTATCATTTATGTACCTCAAAAACGATTTTATTTCTAGAGGTGTATTAGAATAAAGCCCAAAGTCAATTGCTTTATTTTCAAAAAATTGCAGGAAACCTTCCGCAAGTATTAACATGAGTGAAATTCCTATTGAACCTGAATCCACAAGCTTATGAATTTCTTCATGCTATAAGAAATAACATTTATATAAACACAGTTTCATTTGTGATTTTATTTCCAAAACGCTTAGTTTTGTTAGTTCATTTAAATTTGGGAAAAGATCTATCATATCAAGAAGATTTTTTTTGGCCTCTCCCAAAGGGATTGATGGATATAAATTGACAATGTCGCAAGACACATGTATTTCATTGTTTGATATATTCCAAAGTTTAGCTCTTTTTACAAAAGTTGTCAAATTTAACTTTGTTATATTTTTATTTAAAATTGGTTGAAATATTTACTAAATATTGTGCTACTCCATAACTTGGTGTCCCAATGATTAAAACTTGGTGAATGATTAAAACTACTAATCACAGAGATTTTTCTGATTTTTACGCATTAATCACACCGTACATACATGGCAGTATTGGGTTGCTTGGGTATAGACATTCATATTCTTTTTTCTCTCTTTTTTATTTAATTTTGATAGAAAAGATGCTCTTTAATTATTTTTGTTTTACAAATTTCTTGGCAAATTTTGTCCATGGCTTTGTTGTATTCTATTCTAAAAAAGCCTGCTCTTTTATCAAAAGAATATATGTCAATGTTTTTGTTCTCTTCGATTTGTTTTAAAGGTTGTCTTTGGTTACGATTTAAGCTGTTTTTTTGCAGTTTTTACAGTTTAAGTTGCCTTAACACATTTCTGCGTAAATCTTGTGAACTCTCTATTTTGTCGCAATACTCTAGTTTTAGTACAGTGGATTCTGTTACTGAAATTATGTCTAAATACTTTGTAGAGTTGGAACAAATTTAGGTCCTAGTTCTAATAGATTTCTGTGGTTTTCAGGTATTTTGGTTTCACATAGGTTTAACACAACATCTTTAAGAAATGAAAGACCTTTGGCTTTTTCATTTGGATTTATATTTTTTAAGATATTAAATTTTTTGATAAGATAATATTTAGACTTAACAAATATTTTTCTTAAGATTTTAAGTTACATTTTCACCAGATTCATAACCATCTTCAGTTAAATTTAACTAAAAATGTTTTGCGTTTGATTTAACACATTTAATTTAATTTGAGTTTAATTGTATTACTATATATATTTATACTGTACTATTAATAATAGTATTACTGTACTCATATTACATATACTGTTTATGTTATCTTTAAGAACAGAATGTTCAGACTATTATATTTCAAACATTCTGTTGTTATAAATTTAATATAATTTTATGCATAGATTTTAGAATATAAGCACAGTATGCATAACAAATCTTAGCAATTCATTTTTAAATTATCCTTAAAAGTCAGTTAAAGGTATCATTTAAAGTCAGTTAAAAGAGAGACGAAGCCAATCAATTTTATCCCTCCTGAGCAATTTATATTCCCTCCTGAGCAAGTTATACTTTTTGGTAACCTTATTTCTAAAAACATGCAATATATAAATAAATAAATATAAAAATATATATATATAAATATATATATATATATATTTATATTTATTTATATAAATATATATACATATATATATATATATATATATATATATATATATATATATATATATATATATATATATATAAATAAATATAATACATATATATAAATATATATATATATATATATATATATATATAATATATATATATTTAAATATATATATAAATATATATATACACACACACACACATATATATATATATATATATATATATATATATTATATATATATAAATATATATATTTAAATATATATATATATATATATATATATATAAATATATATATTTAAATATATATATAAATATATATATATACACACACATATATACATATATATATACATATATATATATATATATATATATATATATATATATATATATATATATATATATATATATATATATATATATATTTATATAGAGAGAGAGAGAGAGAGAGAGAGAGAGAGAGAGAGAGAGAGAGAGAGAAAATACATAATCAACTCTCGGAATTAGAAAAAATGAAGTTGGCAATAAATTGGTGACCTCAATTTTTTAAAGGTTGGCATCATGTCGGCATGATGCCAACCTTTAAAAACACAATTTAATAACAATATTCATAACATTATAACAATATTCCACAATTTAATAACAATATTCATCATTTTGCTTATAACTTTATTTATTATTTTAGATATGACATATTGTAAAGCTTTAAAATCTGTTAATAAAAACACATCTGTGTGATCCAAAAATTTAATACATCTTGAAAAAGCTGCCAAACAACGGGAAAAAATTCAAATAGTTGAGGAAAATTTGAGCCAGCATAGCAAAATACCAAAGGAATTTACAATACTTGGTAGATATTTATTTCTTGCTACTGGAATGAAGTCCAAAAACCGAACAATGTAAAGTCACAGCAAAAGAGTAACAACAAAAAATTCAATTCATCCATCAAAACGACAAGCTGTATTACCTGGTTTGCCCTGGGAACCATCAATATCATGTGCTGTGTTCTCAGATTCAGCTGAATCATCAAGCAAGTCATCCAATGAAGAAGATTGGGACTATAATACTGTCAAATGCAGGACAAGTAAACGTAGGCGCCATTCTACTAAAAGTGCAGTCAACTTGGTAACAAAGACAAACTTATCAACAAAAAAAGCAAAAGTATTTAAAAAAAGACAGCTACACAGTTCCAACGCCTTTTCAATCTGGTGTGTACAAAGCTTTATATAAGGAGGCAGAAATTTTATCCAAACATTTTAAATTTTGCCTTCGTAATTATGAGTGGTGTTTGCATTTTGATGGTAAACATCTGGAAGGAGAAAAAGAAATTGTTGTCTTAAAGTACTCTACGCATGAAGTTTGACTTGCTGTTCTCTCACTAAAAAATGGAAAAGCTGACACAATATATGGTAACAAAGACTTTTTTAACAATGTTTTATGACTGTTTTAACAATGTATGGTATTGTTGTGAAATTCCAAAAATATTGCATGCAGCAGTATGGAACCAGTCCCCAATATATTGGATGTCATCATCATATTTTAGACATAGTTTTAAGGTTTGCAATTGATCCCGTACTTAGTCCAACTTATTCTCCAAATCCAAGTCTAACTTATTCCAAGTCCAACTTATTCTCCAAATATTTCGTACCCGTGCATTTCTGAAATCACCACAAAGTATGAAGATTTGAAAAAAAAAATCTTTTTTCAAACGGATAGACCAGAATTATCAGTCATAAATTTGGGGTGGCGCAATGACATGAAATTCTTGTATCACTTG